TAATGTAAACTATGGACTTTGGGTGATGAGGACGTGTCAGTGTGGGTTCACCAGTTGTACTGAATGCACCACTGTGACTTGAGATGTGATGATAGGAGAGGCTGTGGATGTGTGAGCACAAGGAGTATTTGGGAACTTACTGTCTTTTCTGCTCAATTTTGCTGTGAACCCCCCAAAAAATGCTTTAAAAATGGATTTTATTAGTTAAATACGTCAACCAACAAAAACAAAAACCCAGTGACGTGACAGATTCAGGAATCTCAGCAAACCCAAAGCAGGATAAACACAAAGAAAAACCACATCACGGTCAGCATGTTGAACAGCAAGGGTAAAGAGAAAATCCTAAAGGCCGGAGAAAAAAGGACAAATTTTATATAGGGGAACAACAATAAGAATAACAGCCAATTATCTCTCTGTAAGCCAGAAGGCCATAGGCTTTAAAGTGCTAAAAGGGGAGAAAATTGCCAAACCATCATTTTATATCCAGTGAAAATATCTTTCAAAAATTAAGGTAAAATAAAGATAGTTTTAAATGAACAAAAGCAGCAAGGATTTGCTGCCAGTGGACCCACACTACAGGCAAGGCTAAAGGCTATTCTTTAGGCTGAAGACAAATGATACCAGATGGAAATCTTGAGGCACAGGAAGTTATAAAGAGTGTTAAAAATGGTAAATACATCAGTAGATGTAAAATACGATTTTTCTTTGTTTTCTGAACTTCTTCAAAAGTCGGCTGGCTGTTGAAAGCAATAATCACAACAATGCACTGTGGGATTTATAATAAGTGGGGAAGTAGAATATATGACAGCAATAGCACAAGGACAGAAGGGGGTGAATTAGGCAGCTGTGACGGTTCTACCTATACTGAAGTGGAATGATACTAATTCAAGTAAACTGTGATGTCAAGGATGCATACTGTTATCCTTAGAGCAGCCATGAAAAAATAACACAAAGCCATTGGCGGAGATAAAATGGAACTGTAAAGAGGACTCAATCCAAAAGAGGGCAGGACAAGGGGAAAAAAGAAACGGAGTAAACAGAACATAAATAGAAAGACGGTTGACTCAAACCTAACCCTACCGATAATTATACATATTGTGAAATGTAAATGACACTCAACGATCAAACTCTTTTTAAAGAAAGCAATACGCAAGTATATGTTGTTTACAAGAGATGAACTTTAAATAGAAAGACACAGGTTGAAAGTAAAAAAACTGATAAAGACATACCATGCTGACACTAAGTGTACAAAAGCTGGTGCGGCTATTTTAACGTCAAAGTGGAATTCAAAACCAGCAGGATTACCAGAGAGAAAGCTATTCATTTCACGAAGATAAAAGGAGACATTAAAATCCTGAATGTGTATGCGCCTAATCACAAGGCTTCAAAATACATGAAGCAAAACTAATCAAACCAAAGGGAAAAACAGCTAAGTCTACAATCACAGTTGGAGAAATGGAGAGTGAAAGAGAAATATAGAGAGTCAGAGAGACAGAGGAGCAGAATGAAAGAGAAAGAAAAAGAGATACGAAGACACAAAGCCAGAGCTAGGTGTCTGGGAAAAGGGGCTGAGGGGCACAGAGATGGGGAACAGGATGCACGCGCCCCAAGCAGGCCCTGGACGGAGGGAGGGTTGGGAGTCCCGGCCCCAGAGGATGGAGCCAGAGCAGGCGCTGGGCCTGTGGGACCCTGCAGGGTGGACAGCATCACTCACCCGCTGCCCCCTGGACCCTCGGGCGCCCGGCTCCCCACGCAGTCCCTGCGGGAGACAAGAGAGAAAGGGGGTCCGCGGTCAGGAGGAGGGCCTGACGCAGGCCCAGGGACCCCCCAGGATCCTCCCCCGGGAACCACCTCATACTCACTCTTTCGCCCTTCTCTCCTGGGTGGCCGGAGATCCCTTTGGGTCCAGTGGGGCCTGAGGGTCCCTGAGCAACAAGACAGGACCTCAGCCTTGTGCTGGGGCAGTGTGGGGGCAGAGACTGGGTGGGCAAAGGGGTTGGGGAGGGAGCCCCAGCCTGGCCGGAGCCTCTGAGCTCTCTATCACACACTCAGCACCTGGCACACAGCAGGTAGCTCGTGCAGCCCAGGGCTCAGAGTTAGGGCCCTGGCGTCAGCCCCCACCCTGGTGTGAAAGGTGCCATGTGCTGGTCATAGCCTTAGGGCGAGAATCTCCACGTTTCTTGGCTGTCAGTGATAATAATACTTGTTTCCTGTTACACGAATTGAATGAGAAATTTTATGGAGATGGAATTAAGTGCTCCGCACTTGGAAACTACTTACCATGTGTCCAGGACTCCCAGGGACGCCCATGGGACCAGGAAGTCCAGGGGGACCTGGAATAAGACAGGATGTCCTCAGGACCGAACAGAGCACGATGTCAGAAAGCTGACCCCTCCTGATACCACAGCTCTAGTCCCTCTGCCATCCCCAACACCACCCGACCCCAGGCCTGGACTCAACTTACCCACGGGCCCCGGGGGGCCTGGGGGCCCAGCTGGTCCCTGTGGCCAATGGCTGCTGGTCTCAGTGAAGGTATTGGACAGCAGTGGGTCGCCTGGGGAAGGAACGATGATGAGTGAGCAGGGCTGGGCCGGCCTGGGTGGAGCGCGGCAGCCAGTCTCACCTGGCGCCTCTGCCAAGCCGGCGTTGACGGCCCTATGGGACGGCCTGCAGAGGAGCTGGGGCCACGGGGGACCTGCTTCGGGGTGGGCAGTGGGGAGAGTGCTGGCCCCGTGGGACCAGGAGGCAGGGAGACCTGGGTTCTAACCCTACCGCAGCCCAGCTGGTGACGTCCAGCGAGACTCTCCGCCTTGCTGAGACTATTCTGTCACATGTCAAATGGGAGTAATAATATGAGCTCCCGTTTATTGACCAACCTACTTCGTGCCAGGCTTCTGTGCATGGGTGTCATGGACCTCTGGGAGGCCTGCAGTGCCACTAATACCGTTGTACAGATGAGGGAACCGAGGCTTGGAGAGAGAGTATGAATGGTGAGATGGAAGGAATGGTGGGACAGGTGAGTGAGTGAATGGTGCCCAGTCATGCGCCAGAGATGCGGCACAGATGGGGTTGAATCTGACACTAAACTCCAAGCTCTGACTACTGGCAGCACACATGTAGGTCAGGCTAGAGAGGAGACAGGGCCCATCACAGCAGGGCCCAGCTGGGTGGACGGGGCTGGGGCCTCTCTGAGTACAGGGCCAGGGCTGCGGCCTTGGGAGCTCAGGGCTCGCTTCGTACTGCCAGGCCTTGAGCTTCCCAGCACTCTGAGAGCTGGGTCCTGGCCAGCTTAAGGCTTGGCAGGAGGGCCTGATGCCAGGTGATTCTGAGCACAGGCTTTGGAGGTGCCTTGGGTTTGAAGCTGCCCCCCTGCGCCCCAGCTGTGTGAGCACCTCTCTCTGGCCCTCACTTTTTGGCAATCTGTGAGCTGCACCTGTCAAAGGATAAGGTGACACATGGCCAACTGAGGGTAAGCCTGGTATGATAAGGTGTGTTAGATGGCAGTGGCACTGGGGTAATGGTTATGCCAGCCGTGTCCCACCCCTACCCCCACCTGCTATGACCCCAAGGGACTTGCCATGCTGGGAGATCCAGGCGTGAGGAGGTCCAACAGGGGCTGGTGGCCCAGGGAGGCCAGGAGGCCCTGGTGGGCCTGGAGGTCCCCTCTCTCCAGGCGTGCCCACAGTTCCAGCCTGGCCAGGACTCCCTGGAGGGCCCTGTGGACCTGCAAGGGAACAAAGGGGTTGGTGGGTGTGCAGGAAGAAGGGAAGCCCGGGGTGGCCGCCACAGGACAAAGCGGCCTGGGGGACTGAGAGGAGAGGGCTCTGGGGGCCACAGGCCGGAGCGGACCCTGGCTCTGACCTCCCTAGTCCTCTACTGGGCTGAACACAGGCCTCCCCTGGGGGTTCAGGACAAGGGACACTTGGTACTTAGTAGGTGCTTAGAAACGGTTTCCAGAATGCTCTCCTCTCCCTTCCAGGCTTTGCATGAGCTGTTCCCTCTATCAGTCCTCTGTGCTTGGCCTGTTAGATGCTTCAGGTCATCCTTTAGGCTTCCCCTAAGACGTCAGTCCCACTAAGCCCTCTCCACCCCGCCCTCCCGCCTCATCCAGATGGGCCTGACCTTCCTTCCCTGGGGCTCCCATACCTGCAACATCCCCCGAAAGAATCCTGGTCAGCTGGTGTGGGGCACCATTGCTCCCCTCTGCCCGAGCCCCCTCCTACTGGTCTGGGTCCAGTGAATGCAAAAGAGGGTTCAGAGAGGAGTGGGCTGAGGGACAAGCGACGGGGGGGGCCCGGGCCACCTCTGGCCCGGTCAGGGTCCCCCAGAAGGGGCTGGCGGGGCAGCAGGAGCCGGACAGTGCCGGGGGTGCTCACCTGGTGGGCCTCTCATCCCTATTGGGCCCTGGCTTCCGGTGTCGCCCTTGGGGCCAGTGGGCCCAGGGAGCCCCCGGGCACCACCTCGATCTGGGGGAGAAAGCTCGTCAGCAGGGCAGCCACAGCCTTGTTCTCGCCTGATCCTGGCCCTAGCCCTCCAGCCAGCACCTGCCATCTCTCGGGAGCAGCGGGGCCCTCACATTCTCTCTGGCCCCCAGTAGCCCTGGGGGTGGGGCGGAGCACAGACAGGGGGCACTTTCACCCAGAGCCCTGTCTCCAGCTCCACTTGGCAGGGGGCAGGGGCTGCTGGGCCTCCCAGGACTTCAGTGCTCAGGGGCCCCTGGAGACCATCCCTCCAGGCCCGCTGGAGAGCTGGGGAGACTGAGGCCTAGAAGGGGGCCAAGCAGGGAGCTGGCAGAAAAGTGGGGGCTGGAGTCTCACTCCCCCGACTCACTCCCACACGGGATGTGCTTCCCCACTGGCCCACTCACCTTGGAAGCCTCCATCCCCCGGGCTGCCCTGGGCAGCTGGCGAGCCCCAGAGTGGGGCAGGATCCTTGGGGGCAGCTGGGGTTGGGGGCACTGCCTGCTCAGTGACAGCCAGCACCGCCACCTGTGGTCAAAGAGGAAGATAGGGGCAGGGTGGGTACCAGGGTCTCCCCAGGGACAGGCCAGCGAGGGGCCCTGGTATGGGGACAGGAGGCCCAGGCAGCAAGCAGAACTCAGCCTCGAGTGGAGAAGGCAGGCTCACAGGGGCCCAGATCTCCTAAGATGACAGTGCTTTTCAAACTGCACAGTGTATTGCATTCAGTGTGGCAGTCCTTACACACCCTCACTGCCACCCAGGTTGAGTTCTGTGACTGCTGCTGTGTTTGTGGGGCCATATGATTTTTTCCTATGCTTAGCTGCATAAATAATATGAAACTTCGTCTGTGTGTTAAAGCACCACCGGTTGGAAGGAATCTTACTAAATTTGGAGTGAAGTTTAGGAAGGTCTGACATGAAACAGAGGCCCCAAGGTCTATACAAAAACACTTTTGGTCCTGGTGTTGGGGGGACTCTGAAAGGCAGGCAGCACCCCGGAGCCACTGACTGAGGACAAAAGGACCCGAGGACCAGAATGCCCCCTGACCCAAGGCTGGGGGACCATGTGGGCCCATCCAGAGAGAAGCTGAAACTCTGGGGCAGACCCAGAACTGGGGGCCCCAGCCCATATGTGAGACTGAGTGCCCTACATGCTGGCTTCTCCTGGGAGGGGGTTTGTGGAGCAGTGTGGGGTTCCAGGGGTCCCCATGCCACATGACTCGGCCTCCAGCACGTGCTGTTCAGAAGCTGGGTTTGTCCACTTGATGACCAACAGCATCTTTCCATGTTAGGGAAAGGAGGTGTTGCCAACAGTTGTCTAGTACCCACGGAGCCGTGCTCCCTAATTATGCAGTGTCTGGTTTTCAAAGTTCCCTATTAATGGTTAATATTTTGGTAAACATCTTCACATCTAATCTCCTTGAGATAAATTCCCAGGGGAGGGACCGATGGAGGAAAGGACATGCGAACAAAGGGTGCACGCCTCTGCGTGTGTTTAGAATAGTGGAGGGAAAGATGCTTCAGGGCTGATAGTCGCTCTCTCGGGGGGCAAAAGTGATGGCTGCACATGGTTTTCTGGAAGGTCTGAGTTTTTTGTGTTTCCAAATTTAGAATGTCTTACTTTTAAAAATTGTTAAAACCTTTTTTATCTTGAAATTTGAGATGCATAATAGATCTTTTGTTTTCGAAACTGGGAAGAGAGTATTATGGGAGGTGGGGGATAAAGGAGGAAGGTGACAAGGCAAGGAGGGGACCCAGCCACGAGCTCTGGGGGTGCCCATGAATGTGTGGCTGGGATGGGGATGGAGGCGCAGGCCAGGCTGTCTGACTATGAGCAGGCTTCCAGGGAGGGGCACTAGAAAGAGGGCTCAACGCGCTGGATGGGGCCCAATGGGAGGGTGGTACATGCCCGGCAGGGAAGCCACCTGCCCTTGGGTACTGAAACTCAATTCAGAGTTGCACTGTGGTACCCATGACTGGGTCGGTGTGGGGGTTCAGGGAGGGGGAGGGACGGCCGGGGGGAGGGGACAGCTGCTCACCCACCTTGGCCTCCAGCACCTTCAGCCGCTCTGACAACTCCAACACTTTGCTGCAGTTGAGACAACCTGTGGGCAGGGAGGAGGCTGGGGCCGGGGCCAGGGGTCCCAGGTTCCCCTGGAGCCCCTCAACCCCTGAAGGCGGGATGGAGGGAGGGATCAGGCACCACATAACCCCAACCCCTGCGTTGGCCCAGCACAGGGAAGGGGCTGCAGAGTCACAGGGTGGGCCGAGCCCTGTGTGTTTCCTTTGGCTCCGGAGCCTGCAGAGTGGACTGTTTCTCCCAGAGCAGGACCAGGGACCCAACTCCTGCAGCCCTGTATCCAAAATGACTCCTTTCCAGGAAGCCAGGGCAGGAAATCCTGTTGCTCCCCCCTGGGGGTTGGCCTGGGTTTGTGGTTTCAGTGACCGACACATTTCAGTCTGGAATGGGCTGACTTCAGAGGCGCCACCCTCTGATCCTCCCAAACCACCGTCCAGCAATTCTGGCCTCTTCAGTGATACTGCTACGTTATTCACAACAGTTCTGGCCACTGCGGAACCTCCGGGCTGCCGGACTAGCACCGTCAGCTCGTCCCGCAGGTCCTCAGTGCAGTGTTAGGACAAGGGTCACCCTGCTCCCACCTGAGGGCCCTGAGGCCTCAGCAAGGGCGGAGTGAGCACTTAACCAGCCCAAAGCCTGGGAGTCCCATTGCTGCCTCTCCCAGGCTGTGGGCCTCGGGCAGGCTCCATCCCCTCTCTGACACTCAGCTTTCTCCTCTGTAAACTGGGGACCATGGTGCCTTACTGGGGAGTCGGGGACAGCTGTGAGGTTTAAACGAGTGACGATGGAAAGCCCCTGGCATGGTGCCTCACACACACGTTCAGCAAGACATTGTTTAAATAAAAAGAGGAAAGCTTGGAGGCTTGGACATGTGTTTGTGAGCATCTGGGGGTCGCAGGGCACCTGGGCCCAGGTCAGACTCACCTTAAGGGCCCTTCCTCTCCCTCCTCCTGGAAGTTCTCTCTCCAGCCTAGGGTAGGCGAGGGTGGGGTACTACCCTGACCCTCCACTGGCCGACCCAGCTGGCTTCTGGTCACCATATTGTCTGTGTCCCCTCCAGACCTCCCCTAGCTGAGTGGGATCCCCAGCAGATGCCCCAGAACCCACCTGTGAAGGCGGCGGGCCGAAGTGCCATCTGCCGCATGGCGTTGCCTGACCACCTGGGCTCCACAAGGCCAGAAGAGCCTGCAAGTGAGGGACAGTGGGGGTAAGAGCCTTACTGGCTGTGCCATCCTTATTTTATTCCCCCCACCCCACCGCCCCCACCTGCCACTGTAGCCCCAGCACTGATTCCTACTTTCTTAGCACAAAGGGCAACAGAGGCCCAGAGAGGTAGGGAAGTGTACTGCGTCACACAGCATGAACTGGGCTGAGCTGGAACAAGGCTGCCAACCTGGTGGGGCTGGGGAGAGGTGCTGGCAGTGGGTGGGGACAATGGGTGAGGCGAGGAGCTCCTCCAGTGACCCCAGCAAGCGGCATGGGTTAAGAGCTCAGAGCTAACAGTTGCAGGATTGGGTCCCAGCCCTGCCACTTGCTGACTTGTGTGACTGGTCCTCTTTGGACCTTCCCATTTTCCCACTTGTAAAATGGGGTCATAAGGCCACCACATTCTTCCAGGCTGGTGTGTGGCCTGAGGACAGTGATGTGTGCAAAAGGCTCACTGGGCACATTGCAGGGCCTGGCACATAGTAGGCACTCAATAAACAGCAGCTGCACTGTTGCTGTCCACCCCTCTCTGCCCCATTTGGTAAGAAGATGCTGAAGTGGATCCTGCACTGGCTTAAATGAAAACCAGAGGGAGACTGGCTGCCTGGGAGGACAAGGGGGGCCCAATCCAGAGCCCACCCCTGCCGCCACTCCTACAAGGAGCCAGCTGCCCTGGCTGGTCTGGCTTTGGGGGCCTGGTTTTCTCCACAGCTGGAGGGATGGCCTGGCCAACCCCAGGGTGGGGGCACAGCTGGAGGGGCTCTGGAACTAGCAGTGACAACGGGCCCCCTCCACCTTCCAGGCCTGCCTTTTAAGGCCACAAAGTGTCATCTTGGGGGAGACAAAACCCAAATAAGGCGCAGGCCTGGCAGTTCAGAGCCAGGCTGTGGGTTGGTGCAGGGAGTGAGGCGCCAGGAACTCAAACCAGATGGGTCCCTCTGGCCAGCCCCCAGCGGGGAGGCTGCCAGACCCTGCTCTGGGTCCCACCGCAGGGCCTGAATTCAGGCCAGGCTCGCACTCCCAGCACACCTTCTCTGGGGGCCTGTGATCTGCCCTGGTGCAGGGGGTAAGTCTCAGCCAGGACAGAGGAGGGTGGGTCGGCAGCCCAGGATGGGAGCAGCGGTTGGGGACTCCATGGGCAGGAGGGGGGTGCCACTGAGAGCTATGCCCAGTGCTGCATACTGTACACAGGCCAGCTAGGCCCTACACCGTAACAACAGGCAATAACAACAATAGCTAACGCCTGTGCAGCACATACTCTGGGCCTGGCACTCTCTAAGCATGTCACATATACAGTCTCAATTCATTACCCTCACAAAACCCTGCAAACAGGTGCTAGGACCTCCTCCACTTTATAGAAAGGGAAACTGAGGCAGAGAGTAGCTTGGTGTTACCGTTGCTCTGTTCCTTGTGCTCAGATAAAGAGATGAGTAAATAGGAGTATTTCTCCTTAGTGGAAAACAAGGCAGAGAGGCGAAGTGACGGGCCCCTGGTTGGAGCCTGGGCATGAACACAGGTCAGTCTAACTGCAGGGCCTGGGCCGCCTGGACCTTGAGTGAGCCCCCAAGTCCCCTGGGCAGAGGCAGGTAGGCCTGGCACCCCTCGGGAATGCTGGCTCCTGAGAAGAACGGCCTCGCCAGGCCCTTCTCATCCTCCCTGCTCCCAGGTGAAGGTGTAAAAGGCCGTTTTTGGCTCTTTCCAGGAAGGTGACCAGCCATCCCTCCAACTCCGTGGAAGTTCGGGTTTCCTGTGGGATGAAGTCTGGCAGAGCAGCCATCCTGCCCACCCTCCCCACTACACCGCTATCGTTTCTCTTCTTCTCCATGGCACTTTCCCCTCTCTGGCATGTCATGTACTGTGGCAGCCTACTGCCCGCTCTCTGTTCCCCTGACCGGAACATGAGCCCATCAAGGCAGGGCCATCTGTCTTGTGGCTGGCCTGGAAAAGTGCCCAGTGAGTGCATAGTAGGACCATCAATAAACCTTTTGTTGATGAATGCATGAATCACTGGCTAGAAATGAGCTTAAAGCAAGCAAACAAAATAAAAGGCAAACAAATGTGGATGGCAGACACAACAACTGCCTTAAAAATGAGCATCGAGCTTCTAATGTCATATTAGGGTGTCCCCGAGTTATTAATTTGTGAACTTGTGGTTGGAAAGTCTTTTTCAACCAACTTCTGAACGTTTCCCTGGAAGCCGGCGAGAACCCGAAAAACAAATGAAAACATGGTCTGACCAGCACGGATGTAACTGGCTCAAAGTAATTGCAAGTTAAAATTTAAAAAAGAGAAAAGAAAGTTCAAAGAAATAATAAAACTGTCCAAAGAAAACCCCCAGAAAATGTTGGCTCTGGATGCAGGATTCACAAAAATTATTCCTCAACCCCCCCCCCAAATTCTGATAACCAGAAATACTTTGAAGGACAAACCAGGTTGGAAAATGGCCCTATTGCACACAAAATTCCAGTAGGGAAAAAGCTGCAGGTGTGGGGGAGGTCTCCTAGAGGACAGAAATGTCACATCCCTCTGACTGGTGTTGAGGCAGGGCCCCTGGAGCAGACCCCTCACCCTGGCCTGGTGGTCTGTCCTGAAGGGCCCCTCTCCAGCCCCAGCCCTCACCTGCCAGGGGTCCCAGGCTGGTTCCAGGACCGCAAACCCCAGCTCCACTCTGGAAGCCTGACAGCTTCCCACCACCTGGGAGGTCCCCACCGGCCGTAAATGTACACACACAGGAACACATACACAGTCTCTCCTCCCCTACCTGCATTTGTACCACTCCCATATCACCTCCTCCAGGAAGCCTTCCTGGACAGACCAGGGCACCCACCACAGCCTCCACCTTGAGGCTCTGTGTTGACCTGCACAAGGCCAGTATCATCTGCAGTTTCTTGCCCCGTGACCTCAGAAGTAGCTCTCCCTTCTTCTTCCCAGTGCTGGGCCTGAGCTAAGAAGACCCCGTGCCCCTTCTCTTTGGGTCCTCATGAGAACATTGAGGCCCAGAGAGCAGAGGTTGCCTGTCCACACAGAAAGGATGAGGGGCTGCAACTCAAACCCTTCCCTAAGCTAGGAATGGGGATGTGAGAACTTGGGGGGTGTCTGGGCTCCACCTCTGACTTTCTCTTGCAGAAGAGGGGCTTCCTCATTCGTAAGGAATTCATAAGACCCCCAAGTCTGCTGGGTCCAGTCACCACAGCCACAGGGGTACAGCATCCACCCCAGTCCCAGCCCAGGTCTCCTCCTGGGAATTTACTTTGCAAATGTAAACATCTGTGGCAATTGGCCTGGGCCTGGGATCAGGGTCAAGGCTGAGACTGGGGGCTGGGAGGACTCGCCAGCAGGCCCGGGCTGTGGGGTTGGAGAGAAAGCGGTGGGCTAGGAGGAAATGGAAGGGGTACAAAGCAGGGACATAGAACTGGGACAGCCGGGAAGGTGGAGAGGGTGGCTGACTGGCTGTGGGGGGAGGATGGGCTGGCAGGGAGTCAGGACACGGGGGCCTCTGGACCTCCCAATAGGAGCGGAGTGGACAGGTAGCACGTGCAGGCAGATTCCTGAGCGTTCAGCCCACAGGACTCTGAATCTGCCGAGTAAAGCACAGGCTTGGCACCATACCTGGCATCTGGTTAGAGCCTGAGAGGCATCTGTGGGAAGGACCCAGCCCTGGATGGCGGAGAGGTGGAGAGGCCGAGGGCTGGAAAGGGCTGGGGCTGAAATGTCCCATCTGCTCTTAAACCGTTCTGCTCTGTGACTTTGGGCAAACTTATTCCCTCGCTGGTTTCCCATCATGGAAGACAAGGGCTGTGGGGGTCTATAGAGAGGGACGTTTGGGACAGTGAGGAGCAAACAGAGGTGACCCAACTCTGGGGTGGGGCATGGGAGAGGAGGGGAAGGGGCTGAGGTGGGCTTCTGCAAGCCTCATGGTGCCCCAGCTTTCCGAATACGTTCCCCCTGGGAATCCTCAGCCAGCACCAGAGGAAAGACCCTGGCTTTGGGTCAGACGACAGGCTCTGCATCTGTCTGTGACCCGGAGTAAGGCACTCCCCTCTCCCAGCCTCAGGTTCCACACCTGGACCTTCTGCACCTTGGCACGCATGACACAGCGAATACAAGTCACAGTGCTCGGTATGGAAGATGATGGAAGCTTTCCTTATCATTATTACTTTGGGAGGGTTTGAGGCAGGGGGATGCTGCAGAACTCAGGTCAGAGCCCCAGGGAGAGACCTAGTCAAGATGCTTACTTGCTGTGTGATCTTGCCTGAGACCCACAGCCTCCCTGAGCCTCACCGTCATTGTCTGGACAGTGAAACTGACGGGTGAGAGCTCTGTCTGCATGGAGCCGGCAGAGGCAGGCTGGCATGGTGGCCAAAGCGTCCTGCCTTCAGCAGAGCCCGCTAGGGGCCCGGGCCAGCCCACACGGTGCATTCTGGCCCAGGCCCTTCGCCAGTGTTCTGGCAGGAATGAGCAGCCGTGAGAGCCTCGGGCAGGCTCCCCGCCTGCTGTCAAGCGCCGCCTCCCAAGGCCTGGAGGCACTCGGTCAGGCAGGTCCCAGTCGTGGCTTTCACACGCTGCGTGACTCCAGGCCAGCCCATCCCGCTCTCTAAGCCTCAGTTTCCCCATGTATAAAACAAGGACCATTCTTGCCTCTCCTTCATTTGTTGCCAGGAACGTGGAAGAGGCCATCCTCGCTCATCATCAGAGTCAACATCCCCGATCTGCAGACGGGAAGGCCAGGGCTCAGGGCCATGAGTGGACCATAAGTCTGCAGACTCAAGGCCTGTTTGCCGAGCAGCCAGCTGAGAGGTGGGGGCACGGAGGTGGGAGGCAGGACAGTCCCGAGAGCCATCACAGAGGAGGGCGAAGACATTTATGGAGCATCTACTATGTTAGAGGCATGAGTCTCTGATTCTCATAATAAGGTATAACTTCCAGACAGAGACAAGGTTCAGAGGTGAAGTGACTTATCCCAGGTCACACTGCAGAACACAGCAGGCTGGTCCTGAGCTGGATTCTGGGATGACAGGTACTCCCCCTCCTCCTTCGGCTCACCCCAGGCTGCTCTATGCCCCAGGGTCGCGTCACTCAGCAGACCTCCAGGGCAGTCACCACAGGGGAAACAGCTGGGGGGGTCCCAGCTTGAACACAGCTGCTAGAGGGAGGGCCGGGCCGGGATGGGCCTGCAATGTCCCCCTGCGTCCCCACCCCTCATTCCTGGGGCCCTGGCAGACATGCGAGCATGTCCAGGTCTGGGCAGCCTTTTACTCAGCTCTGGCCCTGCGGGTTTGGGAGAGGCCCTTCCCAGCCCACTGGTCATCACGCAGTGCCCACTGTGAGCTGCCATGCCACCTGCAGGGTCTTTACTGCTTCCTTTCATCCTGGCAACATGCCGGGAGGCACCCTCTGTTACCTTCCCCTTCTCACAGGCTCACTGCAGGGGTGCTCCAGCCCCGCAAGAGCACACAGCAGCAGGGTGCCCCCCACTGAGTGGGCGCAAGAGTGCCCCCTGTATTGCACCTCCATGCCCCCCAGATCAGTGCCCTCACACAGTGACTGGCACAACGCCCGGGGGAGTCCCCAGCCGGAGGCCACATGGCTGGTGTGTGGTGGAGCTGGCCTGGCCCATGAAGCCCTGGCTGTCCCCGTCCCCAGGCTGGGACCTGCAGGCCGCACTGTGGGAGTTGGCAGATGTCAGGGTTGGCCTGGCCCACCCTGTCTGGCACCCCGGCCTCGCCATCGGCAGAGACCCCAGCCTTTATCCTGGCTGCTGGGCACATGGCCTCCAGCTGCTGGACTCAAGGGCATGGGTGCTCTCCCACCTGGCCTCCCCCCTCACCTGCTCCATGATGGCCCTGCACACCTGGGAAGGTCTGCCCTTGGGACAGCAGCCAGGGACAGAGCAGCCTTGGTCTGGGCAAGCCCTGCCCCAGCTCAGGCCCCCACACTCCTCCCCACCACCAGCTCCTCTGTGGGCCCCTTGGCAGCAGCCCCCCCTGGTTGGCTCTGTCCCTGCACCCCACCCCTTCCTCCCAGCAGGGAGGGAAGAGCTATTCCTAGCTCCCTTTCACTTATCCTCCTCCCACCCGAAGCTTGGTGGCTGCCTCTCAGTAAGGGGCTCAGGCAGCTCCCCTCCCCCTCGAGCAGGCTCCCTCCCTGCTATCAAGCCCCACCTTCCCCAGCTCTGGTGGGACGCTGCCACCCCACACTGAAACCCACCAGGCCCCGCCCTGCCTCACCCTGTGTGACTCTGGGGACCAGACTCCACCTCTCTGGGCCTGTCACCCCCTCTGTGAACTGGGGCTGCGTGGGGTCCTGGGGAACTGAAGTGTGCAAATCTTTCAAGAGGCCCCTATGAATGTCGACTTCCATTAGCATCGCATTCCCTTAATTTGGAGGCTGTGTTTCACATGTTCCTACTTCTGGAATCAGAACATGTCTTGTGACTGATGTTTGCATGAACGTGCTGTTCTGGGGACCCTGCATGCATCTTTCTGTGGAGGTGTCCGTGGGCCTGGCTCTCAGGCTGGTTCTAGGCCAGTCCTTCCTCATCAGGGCTAGGCTTAGGAACACAACCCCTGGTGCCCCCAAACCTTCTCCTCACTGGGTTCAGCCAGGCATCAGGCAGGAGAGGCCCGGACCACTTAGCAGAGGGGGGCAGGTGCCTGCAAGGAGAGGGCTGCCTGGGTGACCATGCAGTCGGCTCCAGGGAGGCCCTAGGCTGTCTCCTCTGTGCCCCTGCAGGGTGCCAGCCCTAAGCCACCCATGCTGCAGGCAGAAGGGGGCTGGGATGGGGGGGGTCCCTTTGTCAGGGGCACACTTCACCCACTGGGCACCCAATTGAGTCCTCCCATCCCGAGGCCCTGGGGCAAGCCAGGCACACTAGATTCAAATCCTGACTGCCACTTAGGAACTGGGTGCCCACGCCTTCCTGAGCCTCAGTTTCCTCACCTGCAGGATGAGCACAAACCCACAGTGCTGACCTGAGTGGCATTTTGCTCCCAGGCACCAAGAGCACACGGCGCTTCCCATGCAAACGTCTGGGTGGGTTTTCCTCAAGTTTAGAGGGAAGGCTTGAGATGTGAAATACCAACCGGCATGAGATTCCCAGGGAGCTGGACAGTCCCCCGAGAGGCAGGCGGTCAGTGCCCGTGCGGCAGCAGGCACAAGCTGAGCCGCACCTCACCGGCAGCTGCACACCGTGGGTCTGTGTGCTGGGCGCCCTGCTTCACAGTGTCTGCCAATGTAGCAGCAGTTCCTGCCCCCTCCCGTACACCCCAGAGGAGGCCTGCGCCCCACACAGTCCTACCTTCCTCGCAGCTCGCCCCTGAGTGCCCGGGGCAGCACCTCCACTCACGGGCGGTCACTGTCTTGTACATCACCTTGTACGTGGGTCTCACGACAGTTCTGTAGCTGAAAGAATGCCGAGGGGCCGAGCTCAGCCGGGTTCTTCTTCTACCTCCCCCACTAGCCTGGATGCCCACGGGGGTAAACCCAGAGCCTCCAGGGTCCTCGGCCACCTCCAGGCCCCTCTGGCACCTCTCCCCTCCTGCACGTGGGGATTCAGCCCTCCCACAACCTCCCAACCCCTCAGGTAGAGGGTCTAGATACCAGCTGAAGAGGAGGCCCCTGCAAGCTGGGCTGGCTTGCTCCCGGCACTGAACGTTCACTACATGAAGGCATGTGGGTGTGGGATGGAATCCCTCCCCCAGGAAGCTCTCCAGGGCAACCTAAGAGCACAAGGGGAAGTGTTGAGAATGGGCATAGAAACAATGTTCCCTGTGCTCTACCCACCGCGGGGGTCTCAGCCTTCCCCTGCACTCCCAAAGCAGGCCCACCCGCAGGCCTTTGCCCATGCCGTGGTGCCTCCACCTCGTCTCACTTACCTGTTCCCCGGGCAGCTCATGGGCCAGGGGCAATTCTGCAGCACTCGCTGAAGGTAGGTGCCATTTTGCACGTGGCATGAGATGGTTCGGGTCACCACGTAGGAGCACCAGTTCCTGAAAGAGACCCACAGAGAGCAGCTCAGGGACCACGCACAGCCCTCTGCCCAGGACCCCGGGAGGATGAGTGGGGAGGTCCAGATTCTCTCCAGGAGCCCTGAGCCTCCAGGCAGAGAGGTCCCTGAGTGGAGTCTTTGCACTGCGGAGGGGTGAACGCCACAGCCCTAGAGGGGGCGGCCGTGCTGGGGGCTCCTGGGAGGTCTGGGGAATGAGCTGTGGGAGGCAAGATGGGAGTGGGCATCTCTGCTGGGTGGGTCCTTTCTCAACATCTGTTCTCTCCGAGCCTGACCTGTCCAGGCCACCACTGCCTCCTGCCTCCCACCTGCACAACAGAAGCGGCCCCTCCCTAGAGGGAGGGTCAAAAAATGGAAAGCCTACCGCAGTGTCCTGAGCCCACATCTGTCCTATCCCTACCAGGCTTCTGCTCATGCCGGGCCCCTGCCTGGACCACTCACCCCAGCTTCTCCACCCGGCACCTCCCACCTTGAAAGCTCCGCTGTGCGGCACTCCTTCCCTGTGTCCTTTCCGACCTCCAACCCTAGCTGGGCACAGCTGATCTTCCTGTCCTGGGTCTCACAGCACTTTGTGTACCCCCTCGGCCCCCGCATGTGAGAGCACAGGCTGTGTCTCACATCCTCATGGGGTCCCCTCTATGTGACAGCCTGAATGTCCCAAACATGGAGGACTGACTTCTCTAAATACCAACTTATAATCATATTGCACTGCGCATGTTGAGTGCTGACCGCACACTAAGGGCATTTATGTCATCTTCCCACTGAGCCAAGGAGTCATGCTCCCACATTTTACAGAGGAGTAAACTGAAGCTTAGGTTGGGGGAACAGCTGCTCATGTCACAGAGCTGGTGCATGGGGGGGCTGGATCTGACCCGGGGAATGTGGATGGTCCAGCCTGGCCTGTGGCTCCATCCCAGGCCTCAGCTCCTGTCTTCTCCCCATCTCCTGAGCCACGGCCTGTGGCTTTGTGAAGACCCCAGCCTGGGAACCTGCTGACCCCAGCCTGGAGACCTCAAAGAAAGTCTAGTGGGATGGGGGTGCTCAGGCCGAGAAGGGTCGTTTGAAACGGTGCTTCCTTTCCCAGCCCCAGAAAAAACGCAGGGTCGGTGACCCTGAGCAGGGCTGAGGGCCGCTGAGCACTTGGAATGTCCTGGTCCCTGCTGAAATCCGGCCCCCACAGCTGCTGCACGGCTCCCGCCCCACTCTGCCCAGGGCAAGTCCTTGGACGGGACCAGCTGGCCAGTGTGCTGTGGGACCCTGGGGGAGTCCCTTCACGGTTCTGTCACAAGAGAATCAGTCCAGGAGGACGAAACAGCCTCGTTAAAGGCATCGAGGTGGGAAAGCGGGGAGAAGGGATGGTTTTGTTTGGCCCAATGACATGGCAGAAGCTCAACAGAGCCACTGGACAGCCACTCTGTGGAACAGGTGACAGGTGCTTGTGCAAAACTGGGAACAGCCTAAACAGCTATGGGACCACCCGACACAGAAAACCAGATGCCCAGACAGAGCCCACGTTCTCCAGGTGTAGACCACCATGCCCGGATAAGGGGAGAAACGCCAGTGCAGAACAACAGGTAGAGAGCAATTACATTTCTATTAAACTAAGAAAGGAAAAGAAAGCCCGAAGACTATTTATAAATGTGCGCACATATATAGCTCTGTTCATGGAACTAGGAAAAACTGCATGTTCACATCAAACTGCCGCCTGTGGGGGCAGGGAGGGCTCTCAGCAGCAGTCTTGTTACCATGCTTGCTGTGGCTGCGTTCCCAGAGCTGTGCCCAGCACCTTCCGTCTGCCAGTTATGAGCGCCACTCTACAGAAGGGAAGACTGAGGCTCTGGGATCCAGCACGTGCCCTGGGTGCCCAGGATGAGCAACACAGTCATGTCCCTCTGACCCCAGAGCTTGCACTCCTAAGCGCAGGCTGGAAATGTTTCTCCTAATAAGCAGGTGGGGATTTTATAAATTTAAAAAGATACATTCCCCAAAGGCCCTACCCTTTAGAGCCTCTGGGGCCCTAGAGATGTGGTTTTGGACCTGTTGGAATTTTGTATGGTGGGCACATAAGCCCTTTTGAGAAAGTGATGTGAGTTGTGTTTCCTCCCCAGAAAGGTGCATAAAACTTGGAGCACAATTTCCAGGGTGATCCCTGAGCTGGGGTGGGGGCTCCCTGCAGCCTGGTGATGTTCCTGGGGCTGGCCCAGTGGTCCAGTGAATGAAGGAAGGTGGGAAAGAGGGAATAACCTGGGCAGAGGACAGAAAGAAGCTCCCGACACTGGAGGGGGGCCCTGGGCACAGAATGAAGGTGCCGTGTCAGTGTACAGATGCGCACCACATGCAAATGTGCAAACATGCACACATTTCAATATGCACACACAGTGAGCACTCCTGCATGTGCAGGTGCACATGCACATGGACACACGTGGAAATATACACACACGTATGTGTGCTTACAACTCTTGGACACTCAACGCCCATGTGCACGTGCGTGCACACACACACACACTCGAGCACCCAATCAGACCAAGGCAAATCCAGCAGGGCACTAACTACAGAAATGGCCATCCTCTCTGCACTTGGGTCCACACCTGCAGGCACAGGGCCAGGCACCCTCACAAGTGCACATGCACACACCCCTGCCCCTGTGCCCAGACCCTACACTGGGCTGGGGAAGGCGGGCCTACGACTGCCCACAATTGCCTGAGCTGCTCCTCTTTTTATCAGAGGGGTGCTAAAGAAAACAATTTTCTTCTCCTTTCTTAATTAAAATCTCTCCCACATGGGTTGCTGCCTGGCTCTCTGGTTTATTTCCCACAAGCTGGAGTTTGATTGAATCCCCTGCTTAGGAGACACAGCTCTGGTGGCTGACTAGCCAAGAGGGGACACTCAGGTCAGGTGAGGTTCAAGGTCAGACCCCAGCGGCTCCCCCTGGAAGGGTCACCAGTAACCACACTCAACTCCTTCCCGGCCTTGAAGACTCCAGCCCAGCTGCCCCCAGGGTAAGCTGGTGTCCCTCTGCAGGATCCTGGCCGGGACTGTCGCCCTCACAGCCCTCCATCCACTCGCCAGGCACAGCAGGAGCTCTTTGTAAAGCACAGACCTAATGTGGCCACTGCCTGCCCACCTTCGCTCCCCTTGGCTCTGCGGGTCCTGACAGCTCTGTCCTGCGTGCTGCTCCCCTCTCCCGCACACTCGTGCTGCCCCTCACTCACCTTCCTGCCCTCCCTCCCATGTGCCACTTTCCCCATCTCAGACCTTTGCCTGTGAGATTCCCTCTGCCTGGAAAGCTCCACCCTCTGCTCCAGCAAACTTCTATTCATCCTTTGGGTCTCAGTTCTGAACCCCTGGGTGGGTTTGGGCACCTCCAGGGTTCCCCTCAGCCACTCAAGGAAGCCCTGAGCTTTTCCCTCCCCCAAAGATGCTGGTGGAGGGCATTGGCAGGGACCAAGCTAGGATGGGGCTCAGCCTGAGGGCACTCGGCTCTCAGGGAGGTTTGCTGAATGACTGACTGACCAAGAACAGACAGTGGCCCTGGGCAGAGGAGCCAGGACCTAGGTTCACAGTGCTTGCACTCTGCTGCCCATGGGGGCCTCCTTTCCCACAGTGTCATCTGAGGAAAGTACCCAAGAGCCTAGGGCCTAGGCAGGAGCTGGGAGGAGGCTCGCTCCTGGGCCTGCCACTTCTGCCCACTCAGCACCTCCTGGGGTTGCAGAGGCTGCTGGGAGGAGAGAAAACAGGCCAGACCAGCTCGGCGTGGCACGGGCCACCCCCACTGAGGCACCCCCACCTGCCCTCCACCCTCTGCCATGAGGGCCCTGGGGCCTTTGTCTCTGCGGGGCACAGGGCTGTGATCCGGAACAGTGATAGGGGCTAATGGCAGGAGGCAGCCAAGTGGGCTGGGGGCCAAGGGTGTTCATGAATAGGAGAGGAAAGAAAGAAAACATACAGGCTGGGGGGCGGGGGGTGACTAGAGCCAGAACCCCGCTCTGAGGGCGAAGTTCCAGTCCTGGCTCTGCTGCTTCCCTAACTCCGTGACCTTGGACAAGGCTCTGACACTTTCTGGGCCTTACTTTGTCCATCTGCAAACGGGGGCAGCGGAATCTCCTCCAGCCAGGGGAGATTTCGTACAAACCGTTTACAGCACAGTGCTAACAGCTATTGGTCATCCTTGTTCCTGGACCGTGACATGGGGCCCGCACCCCACAGCTGTGGTCCACGGGCCACCTTCCTGAGGGACTCCAGCACAGCACCTTCCCCGGAGGTCCTCCCAACTCTGGGATAGAGATTGTCAGGCTCAGCATCTCACAGAGGGGGATGCTGAGGCGCGGAGAGACGTCTCCTGCCCGGGTTCACCTATGTGGGCAGGGAGCTGGGACTTGAGCTCCTGGGAGAGGAGCTGGGGAAGAGAACTCTCTACTCCCCCTGACCCTAGGATTTGCCCAAAGGAAGCAAGCACTACAGGGAGGAGAGCCCTGGGCCAGGACACTTGGGATGGCTTCCATTTAGAGCCACGGCTCTGAGAGGGGCTGCTAAAGGACATGGGATTCTGGCTGGAAGGTACCTTGGAGGGGCAGGTAGCAGCCCCAGCAGGGACTGAGGCTGGACAGAAGCAGGGTGAGCCCAGACAGCTCTGCACGGCCCTGGGCACCCTGGTTCTGGGGGTCTCACAGTCTCGCCACATTCCTGGGGCTGGGGGCGGCCCATTGGATGCCTTCCTGGGCTTCCCCCTCCCCAGGCACAAAGCCTCTTTTCTGCCTGTGGTCCCTCGGCTGCCAAGGGGTGCCTGGGGCGCCAGGCTGGGGGCGGGGGGAGGGCTGATGGGGTGTGACATCCTCGGGCTGTCTCCAATGATGCTGGGACAGGGCCACAGGGGGAGGTCCTGGCAGACGACAACCACAGATTCCTCCAGCCAGGGGTCTCCCCCAACCTGAGGCTGGTGACAGCAGGAAGCACCGCATATCAGGCGCTATGCTGGGCCTTCTC